ATCTTCAAGAGGGAAAAATATTCCATTATCTCTTAACAAAAAAAAAAGTTTCATTCATTAGAACACTAATAAAACTGAGTGACCTTTGGGGTATTTTAATGATACTTTAAATAAATACAAAGATCGGCAAAACACCTGCTTTTTAAAAGTTTCGATGTTTTTCAACCAGTTCAGATAATGTTATTAGAAGGTCCTCCACATAAGTAAAATGCAGATTTATAAACTCTTCCTGCACATTTCCCCTCCAATGCATTTTCTACCTACATTTTCCCACATCATCTTCACCATCTGCAGATTCTCAAATGCATTTAGCATTGAACTGGAGCTCCTGGGAAGCACCTTTAGCCAATCATGACTTTGTCTAAGCTAACTAATATTAGCTCAGTCTTTCAACTCTTGTTGTGGTTTGCCAGCAACAGGTGCAGACACTTGAGGTCTTGGAGAGCGAGGACTCAGATGAGAGGCCTGCGTGTGATGCTCGTAGAAAAGAGCAGCTGCAGCAGCATGGGTGACTCGGGAGTAAGGCTGCAAGGTAACGGCCCCTCCCTTAAGAGAGAAAAGCCAGCCTGACAGACCGGAGTTCTTTGCAGGAAGCAAAGAAGTTCTTGCACTTCAAGCCTTGTGGAAGTTCGGACTATCTTGGTTTGTGTTTGAAGACTTTTTGTTTGGAATATTTCTTGGCAACTTAATCTAGTGCTTTTGGCAACCTTGCACAACCTTGGCAAGGCTAGTTCTTATCAGAGACAATTAGTTTTAATAGCCTTTTAACCGTGAATTAACAGGATTCGCGGAGAAGCATTAAAAGGTTTTGCTTGTATCTCTGTTTGGCGTTTGTTGACTTGGAACAAAGTTGGGTCAGAACAACTCTGCCGGTTGTACAGTTGGATTGCCTCTCCCCACCAAATTCCCACCGCTCCACAAAACCAAAAGAAGAAACAGTCTTCAGTTTGTGGTGGTGCTACCTAGCAAGCCCGGTGAAGGATTCTATTGCAGGAGATCCTGAAAATATAGTAAATGCCATTAGTTCTCTCTTGGAACCGTTTCTCCACACTGAGGTTTTAGGATGAGGCAGGTTGCCCAAGGAGAAAGCAAACACAGCACTCACAAACACTGGATTTCTTTCTGGGAATGCATAGCTGAAGCAGGAGGAGATTCAAAAAAATATATTTCCAAATGGTAGCCAAGAAATTGAATGCTTAGGATTTTGCACCTTTTACTGCTGGTTTGGTGTTGGAGTAGATTGGGGTGAGATGGACCATTATTCTGAGGTCAAACATCTTCAGTCAATGTCCTTTTCAGCTCCTCCATTTATTCATGATATTTGTCTACTTTTTTGCCTTCTTTATAACTTTTGCTTGATTTTTCCCTACCTCAATGAGGAAGAAAGAAGAGCCTTCTTTATTTAAGAAAAATAATTGTGTAAAAGAAGCTCAATTATCAACTTTCCCACAAAATTATCCAAGAAAGATCACCCAAGAAGTTATCAAACAAATATCAGAATAGGTCTCAAAAACTTTTTTTTCTGCACCAATAGCAGAAAAGAATTTATTCCTGAGCCAGGCTCAGTCAAACCCTATTCACGATAAAGCTCCCAGGGTGAGAGGATATATCACAAAATGAGGACCAGAAACCCTGAAAAAAGTAGGGAAAGCGGGATAGTTTTTGTATTTGTCAAGACTTCTTTGGAAGCACAAACCACAAAGCTAATCTTATCACTTCGCCATCCCTTCAGTGATTCCAAATTAAAGAATACCATGACTCATTACTCTTGTGTGTTTTTACTCTTCTTTTTGTTTATGTATTGGTGCTAAGGCATAATGTGCTTTGGGCTCCAGTGTTATACTTGAACCTAACCTCTATGGATTGTAAACGATAATTTACAAGTGAAGTTATGTTCAAGAATTATGGCTTTGTGTGAGGTGTGAATGCCATCTTAATTTGCTATCTGAGAAGCAGGCATGGTTCCTACTAAATCAGAAGTTATGTTTACAGCTCTGGGAATTCCTAAAGCTGTTAATTCTAGCCCAAATCTCTGAGAACAGTCCCAAATAAATAATGGAGGGCCTTTATTTGGAAGTTGGAATTTGCAAAATGATGTTTTTATCTGGAAGTGTTTCTGTTTTCTGAATATATCTCAAACTTGACTTCTGCAAATTAAAATAGTCCAAGAAAATGAATTAAAAGAGAGAAAAAAACCCACTTATTTTAACAGATCATTCACTATCGTCTGGCTGTTTGAAATCTGGGAAATGTAGGAAATCAGTAAAAAAAAAATTAATTAACCATGACATATACAGTGAAACAATGTTTTACATTGCGTAACTTGATTATTGTTTATTTATTTTTACTCAAGCTTTCTCACAAATGTTTTTTGAAAGGGTTTCCAAAACATGAAGCTGATTAAAACATTAATAAACAGATAGCATCAATCCAACTCAGCAGCCAACCAGCCTATATACTGAATAAATGATATATTTTTTTTGCCATGTCAGCAGAAAGAGAATGTAAGAGAACAAGGACTGAAAGTTGTCAGCATGAAGGCCAATTCTCCATTCATACAAGACCTTCTGTAGCGGTGCCAGAATTAAGAGGGGGACCTTCCTTAAACTCTCACATCTTCCAAGTCTGAAGGGTACAATATAGTACAATCAGCACTTTGAATTGTGTCTGGAAAAAGTACAAATTATTTTAAAGCCATTTAAATAAAAAAGTCTTATGCTTTACATTAAGACCCTGCAATGCTCTGGATCTGAAGGGGAAAAGTTCTCCAGAACATTTGCAAGCCAATGGCAACTCTTTAGTTGTTTTCCTGGATATTGAAGCCATTATGGATGGCAAATCCACAATCCTCTGACAAACCACACTTGATTTTAGGAGTAGCTATGAGTGTTCAATATTCTCTAAAGCAGGGGTATCAAACTCAATTTCATTGAGGGCCACATCAGGGTTGCGTTTGACCTGGGGAGGGGCAGGGGGGGGGCATGGCCAGGTGGGCATGGCCAGCTCGACATCACTTGTGTTGGGGACACCTGTGGTGGCCCAGGAGGGGCCGAGAGGATCCACTTTTGCTAGTACTCTGCCAGTGAACATGGAGCTCGTGGGGCTGTGCATAGCCCTCCCAAGCTCTGTTTTCACTGGTGGAGGGCAGCAGGAGGCCGTCGCAGCCGAAAATGGAGCCTGGGAGGCCTCCTGAGCTCTGTTTTTGCTGGCAGAGGCACCACAAACTAGTCCTTTGCTATTTCCAGGGTGGCTCTGCAGGGCCTGATCTAAGCACCCCGAGAGCCTTGAGTTTGGCACCCCTGCTCTAATGCATCTTTTCTCCTTCAAATCCCAAAAGTGATTCATTATGATTGCTCCCAATCAGCAATCTGCCTGTAACATTCACAAGACATGTGATATTTATGATAAACAGAATGAGGGAAAAATTGAAACCCTAAGAACACAATAGGTCAACAATTTCCCAGAATCACAGGAACCATTATCCCTCCAAAGGGATATAAAAGAATCTCAGGCAAGTTAACAAAATAGTCGTCATACATGAGAACACAAGAGAACAAGGATTTCCAGGGCTTGAAACATGCCAGCGCTGGCAAAAGTGGAATATTGGAAACTGGACAGAAATTATGAAAAAATCAGTGGGGACTTCTTTGAAAGGAGACTTCTTTCCTTGTAATGAAATCTTGGCACTATCTCTTTGAATGTGAAGGAAATCACAGGATGTTACCCAGAAGAATGTACTAATATCTGTTCCTACTCAGCCAATCTTATAACCACTTTTACAAGCCAGGAAGAGCAAGAATGAAGCTTTTACCACCTCAATATAAACTTTAGAGTCCGGTTTAGCCTGAATTCAAGCAATTTGATCTATTAAGTATTTTATGAATTGATTATACTAAACGGCTGGAGTAGTTTATGTCTTCCTCTGGGAGTCCAGAATTCAATCGGCTTTTGAACATTGTTGGACAATTCAGTGCAGACAACATAGTGCCTAGAAAAATATGATGCATTCACTACGATCAGTGCAACAGCTAGGACCTTAAAACAGGTTCTACACCACATTCAGTCTGATTCTGTTTTTCACTAATGTTGCTGTCATTATCCCATTGCTTTTCCTTGTTGGTTCTACTGACAGAAGAGGGCACCTAGAAGAGCTCCTGTCCAACAATATCATTATCTGATTTCAGAATTCAGCCGTTACACCTCTGTTTGTCTGCCCTCCAGGTTTTGTTTGGTGCTACAAGCGTTCAAAGGTGAACAGGTCTACCTTTACCCATGCAATCTCTTTCAGTCAGCTTTATAAAATAAAAGCCATATCGATAATTTTGGAAACTAAATATCTATTTGCTAATGCATTAGTGTTCCACAACAGTATCCCCTCAGGGACAGCCACGGTACCATAGGCAGGAAATTAACTCCGTATTAAGGCTAGAATGAAGCTTATTGCAAGCTTTAACCTTGCAAGTCTGATTTTTTTTTCTCCCCTCATTCTGATAAGCCCAGTGAGTTAAGGAGGAGCCAGCCTCACTCTTTTTCTAACACTTTCCTTTCCCAGGACTCAAGCAATACTTCTATCCTTTTTGTTTTTGTAATGACTTCTATTTCTTCAAGGCCATCTCCACCTGAGCCATCTGAATGCTGTCTGGGAGCATTCAACAGTCTGTTGTGCTCATATTTGGTACTCTAATTTGTCTCTGCTGATAGTACTCCCTAGCACACAAAGCAATCTGGATGTTACAGGTATGCAGTAGCCGAGCAACCTAGATTTTTACTCTCTTACTCATTTTCATAAATAGGATGTCCTTCACTTTTTCTCAACTTTCCCCGTAGCGTCTCCAAACATAAGACCCTTTTTGGTGTCTCCATGACTCAGTGGTCCCATAAATAAAGAAATGTCTAGCAATCTATTTTCAGATTGTTTGATCTAGGCTTGGTTTTATTTGGAACAGGAAGTCTATACGGGAACTTGAAAGTAAGTGTAAATAAAAGGGAAATGACCTTACAGAACAAACTCTGGTTTTTCAGCAAGCTTCAGGGCCTCATGCATGCCTGCAGCCGAGAGTTTACGGTTGATGTTCCTATATCTACATTGCAGCAGATTGCGGTAGGTGGTCCTCAGGTCCCGATTGAAGAAGGCATATATAAATGGGTTAATCAAAGAGTTGGCATAACCCAACCAGAGAAATGTCCTCTCAACCCACAAAGGGATGCAACTGCAAGAGGTCCCACAGATGAAGGGTCTAGCAGTAGAAAGGATGAAAAAGGGCAGCCAGCATACAGTAAAGGCCCCTACAATTATTCCGAGGGTAGTGGCTGCTTTTTGCTCCCTTTTGAAAATAGAAATGTTCTTCCGTTCATGTTTCAGCAGACGTGAAAAATTGGCACACTCTTCGGATTCCTTGTGCAGTTTCACGACGCCGTTGGCTGAAACCATCCCTTCACGTTCGTTGGGCCTTGGGAAACCAGCAAATTTGTGTTTGGCTGCACTTTTCTTGGCAGCTTTGTAGATCTGATAGTACATGAACAGCATCACTGACATGGGGATGTAAAATGCAACAGCAGTTGAATAAATTGTGTAGCCGAAATCTTGGCTGATTAAACAGACTTTGTTGTCATTAATATTCTGAGCCCATCCAAACAGGGGAGGCAAAGTGATGGAAGCAGACAGTAGCCACACGCAAAAAATCATTTTAGCCATACACTTTCCATTTTGTCTTACAGGATAGGTGAGAGGTCTAGTTATGCCAAGATACCTAGAAAGATAAAAACAAACACCAAGAGTTAGTCTGTTCTGACCCAGGCTTCGTCAAACGTACTGAAACACAAACTTGTTTGAAAAGCAAAACCTATTTTAATGCAAAGCTGGGAATTACTTTCATTTCTAGCCAGAACTCATTATAAACAGTTCCCCAAGATAAGCCCACATTTGTCAGTGCTGAGGAATGCTGCAAAAAACAGAAGTCTCCAAAGTAATTATAACAGAACACACACACACACACACACGGAAGTATCAGAAAAAAATGACCCCAGAGTACGCAGAGCTTCAAGAAGGACTTGGAATCTAATTGAATTGCTTTGCTTCCTGCAAAGCTTTCATCGAGGTCTGACTTTTATCCCTTCCCAGCCTTACTCCTGAGTTGCCCCGTCTGCTTCAGCTGCTCTCGCCTTCTAGCAGCTCTGTGCACACACGCACTGGGTCCTCTGCTGAAAATCAGTTGTGAGGCCTTTTTTAGGCCTTTTTTGTCCTCCCAGGGGCTTGAAAAAAACCTCTGTAGGCCAAATAGGCCCGTTTCATCACTTCCAGTATTACAGGAAGTGATGAAACGGGCCTATTTGGCCTGCAGAGGCTTTTTTCAAGCCCCTGGAAGGCCAAAAAAGGCCTCAAACTAGCTGAAAATCAGCTGTGAGGCACAGTGCAGGTAAGGGGGGGCGAGGGGATTGTGCGCACATGCGCAGGGGGTGGGCGCATTGCCTTCTGGGTGCTGGCATGCAAGTGCATGAGCGGCAGCATGCATACAATTTTTGGCACAGGAGCCCAAAAAGGTTAGCAGTCTATGTTCACTGTCAGTTTGTGGACTGGAACCATTTATGCCCCATATGGGGAGATGAACAAATAATAATTTGATCAAATTGATAAACCTGTCTCATGCATGCAGGGACACACATCTGTCTTCGAAATTAGCACACTTCTTTAAACACACAATTTCTAAATTATCAGACTACAGAGAACAAACTGCCTAACAGGAATTCTATCTATCCTTCAGTCTGATGTTCCCCAAATACAAAGGTAGAAGGAACTGAGTGCTCCACAGAGAGTGCTAAATTATGCTATGGATTCAAAGCTCTATCAATATTTCTGGAGTAAGAAATTTGGACCGCACTAGACACCCTTTTCAGGACTGTTTCTTAAAAGATCAAAGCTGATAAAAAAAATATTTACAGGAATGCTCACATTGGCCGCATACAATCACTAGAAATTAAAAAGGGGAAGTGGCTGCAGCTCTGTGCCTTGTTTGAAAATAGCAATAGCACTTAGAAATATATACTGCTTCATGGTGCTTTATAGACCTCTATAAGTGGTATAGACTGGTTAGCATATTGCCCCCAACAATCAGGCTCCTCATTTTACCGACCATGGAAGGATGGAAGGATAGGTCAACCTTGAGCCGGTGAGAATCAAACTGCTAGCAGTCATCAGAAGTAGCTTGCAATACTGCCTTCTAACCAGTGCGCCACCACAACTCATAATATAACACATCTCTAGAAATTAAAAATGGAGAATGGCAACAGCTCTGTGCCTTTTTTTGAAAGTATCGCTTCACAGTGCTGGGCCTACCTCTTCCCCTCCTACCACAAAGGAAAAGGAAAAAGGAAAGGAAAGAAAAAAGAAAAGATTGTAGTGAGCATTCCAAGAAGCTGTAGGAAAAAGAGCAATCTCTCCTGCCCCAGTTTGCCTTCTGGTAAATGGAGGTTGGTGCTTTTTCGTGCCCGTCATGGAAAGCATTTTATGAGGGTGACCAGAACATGCTCTTAAAAACTCCTATTTTCTCCCCAATCTCCATCTGATTGTGTTATCTTCTTTCAACTTATGAACGACTTTTGGCTTCCTTCCATAGCCAATACAGCAATGGCAGTATTTCAATAGTAGAAAACTGGTTCTGCAAGTAACAAGTCCAATTTTCTTTTTCTTCTTCCCTAATAAATTGGAAAATTCCTATGGAGATCCTGGATAGTCCCAATCATTATCAAAGCTGTGGTGGATGGAACAGAGATTGATAGTCATAAGAAGGTGTTATGTCCTATTGCTGGGGAATTCTGGCATTGTCTCTATTTCCTTAAAATAGCTATGAACTGCTTACACCAAGTTGCTTGTAGGGAAATAAAATGTAATGGCTATTTCCCAATCACAATACAATATATTTATGTGCCATTCTCTGACAAACATGGTACACGTTTTTAGTCCTTTGCAATTATCATAACAGTAATAATAATATTCCACAATGAAGATTTTCTACAGTATGAAAAGAAAGTACTGTACAGAAATGTAGAAAGTACTGTAGAAATACTGTACATAGATTGCTTAACAGTTCATAACTCTGTAACATACGCAAGGCTGATCAAAGGATACATTTAAGACTTAAATGTTAAGTCCTCAACCCATTATGAAATGATCCCATCCTGGACTGAAATTAGCATCTATTCTGATGTCAGGAAAACAATGTCCAGCAGAAGAGTAGGAAGTAGAAACAGGGGCTACTATCACTCTATCCAGAGCCAAGAATGAGTGAGTGCATGGATGTCAACTCCAGACTAGGAAATCAAAATCTAGAATAGAATAGAATAGAATAGAATAGAATAGAATAGAATAGAATAGAATAGAATAGAATAGAATAGAATAGAATAGAATAGAATAGAATACCACCAATATTGGTCATCACCTCCACTACCACTACGTAATCATGACAGAATAAATAAACACAAAATTATGCATATGCCCACATATATTATGTGACATGGAGAAACAACACAGTCTAGTTCAGATGTAAACATGTACATGGCAAGAAAAATGAATCTTCTGAGTTTACCAGTTGGATGGCATGGGGAACAAAGCTGTTACAGAATCTGGTAATCCTGCTAGAAATACTCCCCTCCCAGAGGGGAGCAACAGAAACAGACTGTGAAGTGGGTGTGTGGGGTCTCTAACAATGCTTTGTGTGCTAAGCGATTATATATAGCAATTATAAGACATATCCTGAATGACAAGAAGCAAGCTTCCTATAATCTTCTCTCCTGTCCTTATCACTCGCTGTATGGACTTTCTCTCTGAGGCACTGCAGCCACCAAATCAAACTGATGCAATTTGTTAAAACACTCTGTGCTGTCCTCATCCAATGCAGGAAATGCAGATGCTGGTTTGCACGCTTCACTAAGGATGATGTGCAGGGGTGGATTCAAATTTTTTAACAACTGGTTCTGTGGGAGTGGCTTAGTTGGTGGGCGTGGCTTGGTGGTCATGTGACCGGGTGGATGTGGCTTGGTGGTCATGTTATTGGCTGGGCTGGCCAACTCAATATCACTCACATCGAGGCATGCATCTCCTCGCCTGGGCCTCTCATGACTGTGGGGATGCTGCAACAGTCGTAAGTGTGAAAAATGGTCATAAGTCACTTTTTTCAATGCCATTGTAACTTTGAATGGTCACTCCACACAAGCAAAGTACCAGCAAAGGAGGGGGAAAAAACTCCAGAGAAGTTCGTGGGACAGGAAGTCTAGTCCTGCCAAGAACGTAATAAGGGTTAACGGAGAGGCAGTTTCTGTAAGCAACACCAGAATGTTTCCTTCCTGCCTTCCTTACAGGATTAGGCCAGTAATTTCTTCTAACAACCAGTTCTCCAAACTGCTTAGAATGTTAACAACCGGATCTAGCGAATAGGTGCAAACTGGTAGAATCCCACCCCCGATGATGTGTGGAGAGACCAGTTCAGATTGTTAGTGATCTGCATCCCCAGATACTTAATACTGTTGACCATGTTTACAACTGCATAATACTATGAAATAATACTATGGTATGTTTATTATAAGGTAACAGTAACAGACTCTTGCAAGTCTGGATGGACTTTCCTCATCTTTCCCTTTATCTTTCTGACAACTAGAGAAGGTTTTGTCTGAGATATTTTCTCATACTACATTTCTGCCCCAGACTCAGATTTCTTTTGTGTGATTGTTGTCTTGATCTTTCTCCTGAACCTCAAGGTCATTCATTCTTCTCATTACAAGTTATCATGAGATAGCACTCAGTGTTCTGTGACTTCCTTGCCAATCATGAATTTTGGTCATCTTTTCTTGCTACCTACAGATTTCTTTCAAATGTTTTCCATTTTGCTATGTATCTCAATATGAAAGTACTTAGACTTATATATCACTTTAGATTTATATACTGCTTCATAGTGCTTTACAATCCCCTCTGAGCAGTTTACAGAGTCAGCATATTGCCTCCAACAATCTGGGTCCTCATTTTACCGACCATGGAAGGATGGAAGGCTGAGTCAACGCTGAGCCAATTAGGATCAAAATGCTGACAGTTGGCAGAGTTAGTCTGCAATATTGCATTGTAACCACTGTGCCACCAGTTCATCCAATTCTGGCGCAAAGAGGATCCCAATTCAGCAGAGATTTGAACCAAAGATTTCAGTAATTAAACTTAATGTCTCATTCTAAAACTAGTACTAATCTAGATTCAACCCACATCCAACTTTCTGTCCTGGACCTTAGAAATTAAACTTTTATTGGTCTTGGTCAGGCATAGATTTAACCTATTTTTGAATTCTTTCATCCCTCTCCAAAATAAACATAAATTCAGATTAGAGCATTTTCCCAAGACCAAAGCAGGGGATAAGAGCTTATTTGTTTTATTCTTAATAATACCAATACTTATCTGATCAGTATACTATTAATGCTCTTTAGATTACGAAGGCTCAGCATATTGAATGCCATGCACTATGGTACTCAAGTACATTGAAATACAAACTTTAAACAGGAAATATTACCTAACACTTGAAAAAAGCAATGTGCAAGAACCATGAGAAACTTGCTGTTATGTGCACATTATTTATTTCTGATTGGAGTTCTTGAGAATGCAGAGTCAACAACCACTTAATGCTGACTCAATAGTTAGAATTATCACTGTTAGTTTTGTTAATCTCAATACACCTCAGGAAATAACTCCTTTGTATTGATTTGTAAATCTTTCAGC